AATTGTTTTTAATGAAATCTGGTAAAGCAACGGTAATATATTTGCAATAACGTTGGTTACGAAACGATTACGGTTGTGTGTGGCGGAAATGCGGCTTGGCTAGCTACGAAGTAACATAGAGAAACGAGTATATCGTTAGAACGCGGGACAGTGTACTAAGTAAAGCGTGGTTGATGCACGAGGTGAATGCATTGTCGCTCGACCCTGATTGCTTCTGCTGCCGCCACAGCACCAGCAGAGATAGCTCAATTGTTGAACATCCATTGCTACTAAAGTTCATTCACAGTAAGTCAAGACCGTTACTGTTTTCAAGGAATGTAATATAGGCCGGATCAATTAACGCGAGCCTGGAGCAATTGATTCTTTACGAGTTATCGAAGTCAAGCAAGTGCAACGCGTGATTCATACATGATATAATATTGAAACTTTATTCGGCGTAAGAAAAGAAAACTAGCCAAGTTTGATTTATTCCAAAATCAACGTAATATACGATTCTCGTCCAATTGTAATCACCAAATCACAATTATACAATTGAATTGATAATCTTCTGGGATATAATCAACGTCTATGAAAATCGTGAAATGAAGATTTGGAAGAAAATCTCGAGAAAGAATTCATTGCTCGAAAATCATTCACGCGTATACGAAAAACGCTACTTTTTCGAGAGATAATCGAATCAAACAAGACGTATCGCAAGTATCACGATGGTCGAATCAGTTGGAAGCATCATCGCGCAAGATGATTCGCGAGGTGATGCGTCATCGGTTGCGATCGTCATCGACATCGGTTCAAGTGGTATTGACCCGAACTCGTTCCCTTGCATCCATGCGACTCGTTACCAATTCGTGGGAACGGCATGGCTATCCACTACTAATTTTCCACCCGGCGATCCCGTTCACGTGAACGTTCGGCAGAATAATTATTTCCCCGAGGAGACAACAAGTGTAAAAAAAAGTTCCGTGTAAACGAGTTTAACAAGTGTGAACCGTACTCGGCTAAGCCCCGAAGGAGGAAAATTTCATCTCAAGTGCTAGTTGGAAACACGAATTGGCAATGGTGCTAAACGTTTCTAACGATAGAGTGAAAGGATATTTGTCGTGTCCGGTTAAAACGCGCGAATAATTCTCGATTAAAATAACATTCCTTTTTAGAATTTTACGAGTCGAATCAAGAGATAAAACGGTTTGAATTCAATAAGCTAATGTTATGGTTAATTATATCGAGAAAGAACAAATTTAAAAATTATAAATCATATACACTGAACACGTGGATAACAAATTTTATTGCAAAAATATTAAGACAGTAAGAATATTATTAATAAAATTTAAAAAACTAATTAATTGCTAGGATCGATCAATATTAATAACAACAATTGCCCGTTCGATTCTAAAACTAGCAAAAAGAGAAAACGAAAAGAAAAACTTGAAACATTAAAACACGTTGTTTGAAACGCATGGAAAGGAAGAATTTTTCGCTACTTTTTCACCGAATGCAAAACGTTAGCCAGAATATTTTCTCGATTCCTGATCGATTGCATATTTCTGATTCGTGTCCCGATCATTTCATAGCTGCCGCGAAATTGTAGCGTTCGATTCGAGTCTCGACTTCATGGTTGGCTGGCTACCGCTCCTCTATGTCTTTCTTTCGCATACTAAAGAGAGAAAAGAGAGGAGAGACGTTGCGTCAAGAACGCGAGGGAACGCGTTCTTGCCTCTTCCGCAGGTTGCTACTCGGCTTTTTTACTCGACCAATACTCAACCGAAGAATTCAATGAGGAATCGGCGCATCACGTTTGATTTTCCCGCCATATTTGGTTATTCCACGTTGTATTCCATGACGTTATTCTTTTATCCGATTATCTTATCGTTTTCTACAATATCGTCGATTGATCGATATAATAGCATATCGAAAGAGACAAAAGTTAATCGAAAGATAAATCATCGTATATAATGATCTATATTTCAGCAACAACGAATCTTTGATTAAACGATTTTAATTATACGCTTGAATTAAACGAACGTAAAAATCAGTGATATCAGAAAGAAACGAATAATCAAATCTAATAAATATGACGAATAAACGTTTCACGATAAATTTCTAATCATGCGATGTGTAAGCGAAATCGTGACGTTATTGATGCACGTTGATTGAAAAATCAATCCCTAACTCTTAGATAAATAGTCCAAGAATTAATTTTTTTCGTTATAAATAATTTATTCTTTTTTTTAAATAATCTACAATTTGTATAATGCATAAAAGATAATAAAATGGGTAAAAGATCCAATATTGGCCATCGATCATCGTTCAAGAGTTAATTAAATCTGTAAGTCTCACTGGACATTGTACGAATGGATAGGAAATAAATCGTTTAATACGACAAAGAGTGTTGAGAAAGCACCTGGCAATAAGTTCGCGATTCTTAAGGAATGGTATTCACGGTTTAACAAAAGTTCCAAACGAGACACGTCGTACCATTGGCCTCATTCTTGGCCGAGCGCTCTGGGTGAACCGATCTTATTAAGGCTTAATTAGCCATTTAACAAGATATATTTAACTCACGGTTTACACAGCGGCTACATGACGAAAAGTGAAAGAATCTGAGGTCATTAAGTGGTCGATGCATTAATTACGATACAGTTTATGGAGAAACAAAACGTTCACTTTATTCCCTTGTTGTTGTATTTTTAATTATCAATTAAAAAGCATATATACGCTGAGAGAATGTGAAAGAAAGAGAGGAAAAATTGGAGCATAGAAAAAAAAAATCACTTCTAGATGTTCCTACTACAGATTTCTTATTTGCTTATCTGTAAAGTTAAACTTGATGTTTTGCTTAGATAAAGAGTTTTTTATCTTCTTTTATATTTATATAAGACAGTTTCAGGTGAAACAGTTTCAAGTAATCTAATTAATGTTGATTTTAAAACGGAATAAATTTTATTATTGCTAATAAAAAATAGTTTAAAACATACTTCAAAACTAAAGTTTTAATTTTATCGAATTATCTATATGAATTATCTATAATATAAAAATAATAAAATCTATCACAATAAATTTCTACGTGTCTCCAAATAATTGTTGTTTGCAAATGATTTGTAATAAGAAAAAGTTATGTTTTATCTATCTATAAATAAATATAATCTATCTATAAATAAAAATTTGTATTGCAGAATTATGAATTAGTGATTATAACATTTTATATAATTCAATTATGAATTATATTATAATGATTCAACTGCATAATTTAATATAATTTATAAATTTATGAAATATATATATATATATATATTAAAATGATTTATTAAGTAATAATCATGTGTATCAAAATTAAATAGGACATGCAATTATTTAAAGTTTCCTTTAAATAATGTTTCGATAGAAAATATTCCCACGATATAACAATCAATTCTCATTTCGAAATTTCATTTTTTCTCAGTTTAAAGAAAAATAAACAATTGACTAACCTCTTTCCTCGATGACGTCTGCCTCGACGATGTATATCAGCATGAGGAGTACGCAAACCCCAAGGATCTTGGCTGGTCCCATCTTTTATCCAGGGCCTTTCAATCCAGGGAGAATTCCTCAGGCACCTTCACAATAAAGATCGACGCATATCCACTACACCAACACCGCACACTTAATAATACCGCACTATATATCACTTAAAATTTTTTTGGAAGCCCCTGAACGTTTAACGATTAACAGGGCGGTTGTATATAGTTTCACATCGAGAACGAAGTGTCACCAAGTCGTAGCAAGTTCGATTATTGCGATGTTAAAGATTTAAAATTTCACTAAAATCTACTCGTCAAGCCTCTGTATCAGTCCATTTGAGACGAGTCAAAGTCTACATTATATTATAGATCTTTCAATTTCGCGAATTCCTCAAAATTTCAATTACAGGAGAATCATGAAAAGCACGAGCCATTAATTCAAATGTTTCGAACGCATGCGCGCATTGCCACTCCGTTTTCACTCAATTTGTTTTGCAACAATGCCGGTTACACACCGAGAAAAAGAGGATATCTTGAATTCTGCGATTTCACTGATTTAATGTACCAAATTCACTCGCGATTTGTTCGACAAAAATACACTATTCGATAAGAATACACGACAAACTTGGAGTCAATGTAAGAAGGCGATCGACCACCTTCTCAGGCGTCTCTCGGTGGACAGCCTTACTCCCACGCTGGCCGAATCAAGAATACGCGCGCCTTGTCAAAGACGAGTTATAATTCCGTTCGATGTCGACAGGTGGCAGTAACATTGAGACTTGACGAACGCTCACGAACATTGCCGATGATCAACGAAGCGATAAGCGGCATCACTGAAGCTATCTGGTGAAATATTTAAATATAAAAACAGATTTTTAAATATGAGATTGCAGATGAAAAAATAATATTTCATTAAAATCGTTATCATATTTCTATAAAAATTATTATTCTAAATATACATATCAAATTTATTATATTATTTGACGAATGATAAAATTAATGTAGAATTTATTTATAAAATTTATTATTTATACTTAAAATTATTTAAAAATTGTAAATAATCTTTTAAGATATAAATGTACCAGGTCATTGTCCATTGAAGCAGGTAAGATATGTCAGCATATACGGCCCTATCGATTCTTTGAAGACAGTAGTCGTTTGATCGTCGCAAAAATCATCGAGGGACTGGTTTCTGTCGCCGAGGCACGCACTTAGAGTACATGCGCACATGCAACTGCGTATCGAAGAGAAAACTTGATACAGAAAAGATGCGATCAGCAATGAAAAGAAAAAAATATGTTATTAAATATTATAATTTTTTTATCGATTAATTTAAAATAATATATTATCTATTTATGAAAATAAAAAATAATTTTTGCAATATGTATATATTTTTCCTTATACATACACATAATCCCCTCCCCTCCCCTCACCCCAATATATTTTAAATATTATCGAAAATATAATATTATATATTTTTAAATTTTACTAAAAAAAGAAATAGTAGTTTTTCAAATTTATCGTGTTAAGTACATTTATTGAAAATTATAAATTTATATTATTCTATAAATAAATAAAAAAATATTTCGATTATCGTCATGATCGATATCGAAGAATAATTCGATAGATTCGATTTTCGTAAGTTCGATAGCTAGTAGGATGTTTGGCAGCACTGTATCCAAACGGTCATTTACGAAGTAACGTATAAAATATAATGTGTGTTATGTACAAGTGAATTTGCATAATTTTGTGCATTTATATTGTGTGCATTTGTGTATTTATATTAAATTTATATTTAGCAGATATAGATTTCAAAAAACATCAAATGTAAGTTCTATAATTTTATATTCTATAATTGTAATATCAGTTTGAATTCCAACCACAAAATTGTAAATGAAATTTATGTTATATCCAGAACGAATAGAAAATACATTTTTTGATGGAAGAAGAAACATAGAAATTATAAATGGAAGAGAGTTTTTATTCATATATCTTTCAACTGATGTAAGTACAAATAAAGTACTCTTGTAACAAGTTTTTACCGGTATATATATGTTATACATATATATATATATTCATCATATACTAACACGATGCAAGTAAGAAAATATTGTCAGTTTAACATGTATATGAAACAAAATTTTAACAATTGAAAAACGTATATGTAGATATATCTTTCATTTCTTTCGTTTATATCATATATGTCATATAATAGCATCTTATTATTCAAGTATTTATTATAAATAATAACAGATATAACTTGTTAACCTCTAAATTGTGACGGTATGTTGCTTTTATTGATTTGATTTAATTTTTTATGAATTATCAATATTTCATCTCAATATCTCTCTTTATGATTTAATCAATATTTATCAATATTAATATCTTCATGATTTAATGATTTTAAATATATTTAATTTATGATTTTTATTATAATACAATATATAAGAAAAACAAACAATATTCACTTTACTTGGTCGTGATTGATCTTATTTTGTTGTAATTGAAGTATTTATTTAGTTATTTTGTAGATTTTAATCTTATTAAATTATAAAATTATTCGCAATTTTCTTTATTGCGAATTTCTTTTTCTATAAACTTTTTTTCTACTGATAAATCGTTATACCAGATCTTTCTGACGCACTGGTTTCCAGATGAGATCCGGGACTTATAATGCGTGTTTTTTTGACAGTTTTTTTTCTTGTATAAAAGAAGCTCAAAGGAATATGTTTATTGTCAAAAACGTATGATGGTAGCAAAGGGTATATATATATATATAAAAAAAAATTGTTTTCGTTCTTTGCATCAAAGTGAAATATTTTTCATTTTAATTTTTATATATTTATGTTACATAACAATATTTTCAAAGTAAGAAAGAAATGGATTTTATGATCTAGTTCCCGTATGATCACCATATGTTTTAGTTCTTATAGAACTAAATTTTATATGCAATTCACTAATTTTTAAAATAATTTTCAAAATATTTATAAATTAAAGTGTTGCAAACGCGTATTAATAAAGAAATAATTCATTTTTTTCTCTAATTTTTTATAATTACAAAAATTACTAATTTTTTAAATAAAACAATAATTTTTCAAATAAATGAAATTAAGAATAAAGTAAAATTAATGTTTTACATAACAACTACAAAATTAAATATTAATTTTTTTATCATTTAATTATAAAAAATTCTCTAGTCGGGAGAAACTAATCGGTTTAGAATAAAAAAGGATTATTTTATAAGAAAATTTTCATTCCTTTTTTTATATTTGTTTATTATAAATAACAAGATGTATATTCGGTGCGCACGTGTTGTTTAACCTGTATATATATATATATATATATACTCAAGCTCCGTCTAAGTTTATTTCGCTTACTGTACTATACCTTGTTTTACTTTGAGTTTTTGTTAATTATATATTTTTTTTCGCTACAATCTATCTGATGATACGGCGCGAGGAATTATTTTTGGAAATTTGCTTCGGAGACGAATATTCCACGTAGCACCTCAAGGAAAAACATATCGTTATCCTTCTGCGAGATTGTAGTAGCGTTTTGATACCGATTATTTGTGATCGATCGTGTGCAAAATGAATTTTCTTTAACCCCTTCGTAACCAACAATCACGTTTTGTACCCCCCCTTCGAGCGTTATAGACATTCAATCACCGTTAGTATCTCAATTAAAATACAGACACGATATCATTCTCGAACAATCGATAATTTATCTTTTCTTTTCCTTTTTTTTTTTTTTTCCTCCATCGATCATAATGTGAATATAATACAATTTGTAAATTAATTCTTACTAATGATATGCGTCTCATGAACATCTTCAATGAAAGATCAAAGGTTACGATTAGATCTTGTTGAACGGCTTGTACAATGCAATGATATCACACATTTCCACGATATGTTCAATCAAATACAATTAATGGGGGAAAAAACGTTGTGGGATTCGAACGTTGTGGATCTAATCCGTTCTTGAATGTTTCTATAATGCAGTTCCAAGAGCGACGTGGAAACGAAGGGATTAATGGATAATGTGTTTGGTGGTCCTTAGAAGCTACGATTACTCTTATAGCATTCGCGTTTTTAGCAATGATTAATGCGTGCATTCCTTTTTTTTTTTTTTTTCTTTTGTCTCCCTCAATCCTCTCGAAGAATCGAGTTTCAAATTTCTAACATACTAAGCTGTCGACTACAAATCTGTCTTCAATTCGCCGGCCTAAATAACGCGTCATATGTATACATCTATAATATATTCGCTCTTTTTTTTATAAACTCTCTTTTACATGAAACGATTAAACCTTTCTTCCCTCGATACGTCCTTTGTCTTGACTTTCGTCGTGTTTTCGCGCATCTCCTTCCTCTCTTTACGAGTTTCATGTTAAAATACCATTCTTTTTTGTGTTATTTTTCTTCATTGATCGAGAAACGATACCGTATCACTCCGACGTGCACAGTACACGCCATTGATGGTTGTAAATGCCGTACTACGAAAATTTAGCTAGAATGTAGAAACTTCAAAGAAACTTTTATAATTCTTTATTTTTCGATCCATAATTTCTTGGAGTAATTTTTTTTTTTTTTTTTTTTTTTTTACGCATGCAAAGAATCCTTTTTCCACAAATTATGAACAAAACTAGTCAGACGATCGGGAACAAATTTCATTCAATAATTTTGAAATTTAGGATATGTAAGAAATTTCGAGCGTCCGCTCCAGTGTTCAACGTAATTTTCCAATGGCGATTATTACCATAAATGTAGCGTATTGCACGCTTCGTTCTAAAAAGGACGCGCGAAAATTGGGGAAAATCCGGGACGTACGGGAATCGTGTTAAAAAACTAAAGGCGTTGAAACTTTCAAAAGCTACGTACGACATCATGTAGCAGGCACGTCTTATCATATCACGCTAAAGGCTTTTAAGAAGCCTGGTAGAACCGTATTAAGGTACCAAACCAGATACTCCTTTTTCTTTTTTCTTTTTTTCTTAATTTTTCGTAATTCTTTATTCCTTTTTTTTTTTTAATTTTTTTCTTTTTTTTTTTTTTTTCTTCTCTTTTTTCTCGAACGACTATCTACGTATCCTCGTATTCCTATGTGTACATCACTCACACGCATGCCCCCACATATTCGTTCCCTTTTTCTCTGTTCCACGTACACGCACACTCGCATACATACACATAACCTCCCTTCTAATTATTTTCTAAACGCTTGAAACTAGGAAAGGGTGCGAACGGTGCGCGAGCGCAAACAAACGAACGTTTCAGTTCCGTTGCCGGGCAAGGAAACCGGATTATTGTTCCATGGAATTCAACCATTTTCGAGGATGTTGAAACGCGCGAATATCCCCGAATAGATTCCCTGTTCTTTTTTTAACACGAAGCACATATCATACGTGCAGGCCTACGAGAATATTTCTTTACCAAGAGAACACGGACAATCGCTCGTCGCGATCGATTGCTTTTAGGCGTTTTTCCCCTTTTTCTTTTTCTTTTTCTTGCATTTCAGCACTTCGAAAAAGTGTCCGTGTATAACGAACGAACCGACATCATCGAAGACACTCCGATCAATGTCTAATTTATCGATACCTACCTTTGTTATCTCGTTTTCATAACTCTCTCTCTCTCTCTCTCTCTCTCTTTCTCTATCACACTCGTGTCAGCGAAATATTTGGATTCATAACCGTGTAACTTGTCGAGTATTGTTCGAGCATCGATTTATCGCGAGTAATATAGCGAACTCGTCGAATTCGTCGATAAGAATGCTACAAGCTAGCTCGACGAGGCTCAACTCGTTTACTCATGATTCACGAAAACTTAG